CTCGTCAAAAACAACTGTAGATGAATGTTATGAACTCAATGCTTAATCATCACTGGCGTCCAATCTGCTGTTTCTGCCTTGATTGTGAACCCAGACGCAGTGGTTCTGTGCACTTATAAACGCCTGCTGTTATCTCTATTCAAGGCATCTTATGACCCTTTCGTGTATGATTACTGATCAAACATGAACAGATGTCAGTGATTTCTCATATGTTTTATTCATCCACTCCAAGTCATTCCTGCATAATAACTTGACACCACCACTCTGTATCGATAAGTCGTGAACTATAATCGCGCGTTTTGATCGTTTTAACTTGTAAACCATCGCGCGCTGCCTTAGCTGGTCGTTTGACCAATGCTCCAATACTAGTTGGCAATCGACTCCATAATTCGTCCCGGCGAACGACTGCCTAGGGCTGACTCAAAAGAACAACGATAGCCGCGGGAGCCGATTGACGCTTCATCTAGTTACAGCGAATAATGACTGGTCACTGTTGGCTAATACCAAGCGTAGAAGTAATTAGCGACATGTTTCGTTACAGATGATTGTGTTATTATGCTTGTTTTGCGCCTGATTGATAACCCAATCTTTGTACTAATATTTACCCCCATACATTGCTATTTTACCCTTTTGGGCGTAATTACTCTCAGGTTGGGAACCCTTGGTCTAAGGACAACCTTGTGCGCTAACCTGATAAGAGACTGTGAAATCTTATGGTCTCATCTTGCATCGGAAATGGAAACAGCCACTGACCTTAGCCACCATTGGAAATTATACGGGAAATAGGAAACAAGGAACCTGATGTTTGAGAAACTATATGCGGCGAGAGGCGACAGACATTCACATCAGTGGCCTCCTTCAAGTAGCAACTATGCGACTACCTTGCTTTGTATGCTGGCCAATTCCATGGTGACTCTTACCGTGTCACCGGTTGAACATTGAGCCTTCACTTAACTTCTTGCCGCTTCGATAGGTCGAAAAACCTAGGCAGATGGCTGGAAGACGCACAGAACATAACACAAACAACTTAGATAGTAGTGGTCTAAACTAGACTCGTAATAATAAGGCTGTGGTGAAGAACCGGCTCCAATGGCATTTGTGTTGAGAGTTTCCTTGTCCATTCCCCTCCATTCTCGATCTCATGCAAAAGGCATAATATGATATCTAACCTCATACTTTTTGTAATGTAATTTGTGTAATTTGTAGCGTAATTTTCTAGTATCTTATCTTTTGTATTGTGGCACATTAGCTGAGGTGTGTTTTGCACCCTCAGCTAACGTGTACTGATGATGATGGTGAGGATGACGATGATGATGATGATGATGACGACGACGATGATGATGATGATGATGATGATGATGATGATGACGGTGATGAAGGTTGTGGGTTCTGGCTCCAAAGAAGACAGCTAGAATAGTTACTGGCGACGATCACTTCACGTTCAGCGCTTTCTGCGTGCGCGGTAGCTGTCCGACTATGTGTGGCTGTAGTGTATGTCCTTCGAGATTTAAATATAAGTCTTCCTGTTCACTTGGCTGCAAACAATCAGAAATTAACAACTTACTTTCTAATGTGAGCTAGCGATAGTGGTTCAGTATGGTGTGGTGGCAGCTTAAGGAGTCGAGCGAATCCTCTGCGATTTGGAAAAGCGCTTGCGAGTGTAGGAGGAGGAGGAATAGAGTCGCACTATATCACATGCTGTTATTTAGGCAATACAACTGCCACTACCCCTTCGTGTCTTAGTGATCTTAGAGTATGATCCGGGGTTCCAGCACCAGGGTAGACAGCTGCAGTACACACTCCTGACGGGTTTCGAGAAGGTGCAAAGACCGTCCAATGCTTTTAGGATGTGCAGCAGCCGTTTACCTGAGTTTATAGATAACAAACCCTTGTTGAGCATTCACTATTTTAGTCAAACAGCTGCCAGCTGTAGTAAGTAAGCAGCCACAGCGGAGTATATACCGACCGACCGATCTCCTAAATACATAAATAAAGTCTATATTCCTGGACGATGCAAGAAGCTGTTCCCTAAAAGGAACAGATCAAAACCTGTTGCATCATTTTCATACTATCGCATCAATGATTTTGCAAAACTAAGTAGGGGCACAAATTTCCAAGTTAGCTACCAAAGAAATCAAAATCAACCCGCTGTTTTTCCAACTGTTGATGAACCATGGTTCGTCGCAATCCTACGAAAGACGTTCTGGTCCATAGAAAAGTAAATTAAGTTAACGGGAGTTTGGTACAAAATGTTCCATGCATGTACAAACAGCAAAATCAGGAGATGTAGACTATTATTTGACTGTCTAGTCTTCTGATTTTTCTCTTTGGAATGATTCTTGTTTCATATTTGTATGTATGTCTTTTCGTAATTTAGTCAGGGATCATCGATACCGTTCTGGAAAGCATTACTTAGGGATTGTGAAATTCCGAACATATTAATCGCGTTTCGGACGGTTAACTGCCCAGCGCTTCTATTAGGCGGGAGTGATGAATCAAGGGATTTCGTAGTCACACCTGATCATTTTGTTAGCACTTTCGGCACTCCATGACCATGCTGCTGATGCAGTCAGCAGCAGCAGCAACAGCATTTTGCCTTAACACCTGAGCACCCCAGTACGCTCGAAATCTGAAAGTCGAAACTAACCTTTACCTTGGTCTAGCCACCAGTGTTACCACGTTTTCCGGAATAGGTGAGCCTTTTGGACTATTGCCATTGAGAGTAGCGCATTTGAAATGATAGTTTCTAACCATTTAAGGAAAGTAGCCCTGCTTTCAGCATCTCGAATTTTTCATTCATTTGTGCTATTGTATTTAGTAGCGCTTATGCGAGGTATGCTCGAAATCAATATCGACATTTTGTCTTCGTAATAAATTTATCCGTCAGTCACATGAAGAACACAACTTGGCGGAAGTATCATCCGTCGTAATGTCCGTTTTGAGTTTGTCGATGATGAATGTTGCGCGAATGCTGCAGAAACGATTGTCCTGACTCCGTTTGTGCCGTTGTGAGCTTTACATGACAGCTACATACACCTTTTTCGGCCTCGAGAGTTGAGGTGCTGGAATGTTAGGTTATAAGCCGACATCGCCCAAACTTCTCTTAGTGGTGGTGTTCAGATAGATTGCAGGTGGACTTTGAATCCAGAACGTTAGCCGTTTCAAATCAGCTGTATGCGAGTTATCCCCCAACAGTTGGCGCCTCGTACATATGCCACCAACGCATCATTGTATAGGTGGGATCCAACCCGAATTTCACTTAGCACACCTAGTAACCTAGTGTGTGTCAGTAATGAACAGCTTGTGAACTGGCTGAACTCATCATCAACAAACCTAATGCCAGAAAGGTGGATGGTGGAGAACAAAAGTGTGATTTAGTGTCACCGCGCCAAAGGCCAAGTGGCTGAAACTGGAGCAGAACTGATACCGGTGCATTTTTGCATCTACCGACGACGCTTGTGGCGGGGGTGAACGTCTCGTGTACAAAATGATTACCCACGAGGAATTAGTAATTTGTCAGCATACGATCGATTGTGGGTGGCTATTTTACAAAGTCAGCAATAAGTTTGATGTTCCGGTTGTTACATTTGTGCGCCCTACACTGTCTCACCTATCATCCACCTAAGCCTACCTTTTTCGAATAGTATGCACCTAGTAGAATCTTGGCTAGTTATATCCCAGAAGTAGCTAAGCAACGATGCTTACCCTACAGACATACTTCGGATTGATAAGTTACAATTAGTAGTATTTACATCCGCTGCAAAGGCAAAATGTACAAACTGACGACTTCACAGAAAGCAGCTGACCTACTCTTGGTGATGAATACCATGTAATCGTCCTATGCATGTAAAATCGACTTTGAATTTCCTTTGAAGCCAACGGCAATGCCGATAGTGCATGCACTCCACGTTTTATTTATTCTGGCATTTACCGATTTAGGTTTTGGCAAGTTTCCGACTAACAGCGAAGTTTTCAGCACCAGAAAACCATGTTTATTGGGTTTGTGTCTCTGGACAAACATCAACTAAGACACCGGGCCTTTACATATGACCTAACTATAACTTCCGTTTTCCGCTCAAATGGTGCTATGGAACACTTGCCGAACCATTTGCAATCGAACACCATTATAGTTTAAATTTTTCGAGGCATAGCAGTGCATGGCGTTGAGTGTTTTGGCAATAACTAAACGAGATGCACACAGACCCCGACTGTCTGCTGCGCTTCTCTCCTGTGTTACCCCGATGGGGAACAGTGATATTTTTCACTGCCAACGAAACTATTGAATTCAGACTTAATTTTATACTCAACAACAGAATACGTGCACGGTTCCGTTGATGAGCTATCTCGCAAGCAACCACATGTGCACTAATCCTTGCGTTTGGTTCCATCAAAAACAACAACAAGCCACTCACCAACAACATTTGCATCGGGGAGACTTCAGACTAAAGACGCTGAACTTTTAAAACACTCATACGCCACGCCCATACCGCTGACGTCACTGGAATTCGGGTGCGACTACCAATAGTTCATACCACTTATGGCACGTCTGTGAATAGTGTAAAACTACGTAACACTACCAATGATTAAGTAATGTCAGATGTTCAATACAAAACATGCCAACTACCAGGTGCACACGACTATCATGTTTCAAAGTGTCACGTCTCGGTGTACTTGTGCTTATTTGCATAATTGAATCGTGAATAATCTTTACTGACCTAAACCACGACAACCCCCACTCGTCGATCTTTTATTTTCATGAGGAATTCACTGTGAGGAATTCATTGTGAAGTACGCTTGCTTCTGAGTGCTCTTGTGACTGATTACCGAAAATCTGTTGGATAAACAGGAAGTTAAATGTTTCTCGTTATTCCGCCTACCTAGCAATGCTTCTGAAGAAAATGGGACATGAAGAAACAAATACACATTTTAACCCCTTCTATTGAAATGCTTTACTCGCAACATCTATACTCCAGTATGACAGTACATTATTTCCATTTTAGGAAGCATGTGCAAAAACTTGGGAGAAATTTGTGGAGGACTTTACGAAATCCCACCCAGAGCTGACCCAGGAACAGTAAGTATCTCGATTGAAAATTACGGTCCATCCTCACACAAAGATTCAAGGATTGTCTTACTGCCATCACATCGGATGCCGATGTTATTTAGTTGCTTTAAAGGGGCGTGTGTACGGTCCGTTCCATGAACAGCTACAAGAGTTATATGAACCAATACTGTGAAATACCTGTCAATGACTGAGATGATAAATTAGACAGTCCCGACAACACTGGTGAAAAGTACGATAGCTTTGGAACATAAAACTAAGAGTGTGGGATATGATTACGACTGGTTATTACTTCTTCCACGTACCTGGAGTTCATTTGGTAGGTTAAGCACAGAGTGCTTCCATGGATTTCAAAGTAAAAATATAACACAAAGAAAAAGCCAATGAACTAAGTGGTCGGGTACGATTGCCCGTCATAGTAGGCGCTCCACTTCGAGTGTATAAAGTGGTACATATTCCGAAAGTTTGGATCGCGTCCACTTTAAACCGTGCGGTTTAATTGCGCTGTACTTTACTCGAAAACCACTTGGATTGCATGTTAGTCCGCGAATGGGCAGGTTTCTTTTTCCAGACAACTTCAGTGCACATGTTCGAAGATGCCTGTTTGTCCCACTTTTGCAACACACCGAACATAAGATCGGATTTCGTCAACTGTGGTCATTTTTAGAAAGTCTGTTTAAGTCACTCTAAGGTTGTCCACAAGTGCTCTAGTGAGTGGTTCTGGACAGTCAAGCAGATGTTACGGATTTCACAATCAACAGTCGTGTAAATAATCGGAAACCTTTTTTGTTGGCGAGTTTCTACCTAACCAGGGGTATGTAACTCACTCGCAGAATATTAGCACGTACAAGTACATTTTATACTCTGTTTAAAATCATGCCAGTGAGTTTCTGTTTATCATAGCCTTGTACCAATGCAGCTCATAGGGATTTTAGACAAGAATTTTAGTACCAACGTTACCATTAATTTTATACACCGACCTATAAAGAGAAGCTGTTTACGTCACAACGAATTGCTAATTGCCTCCGCATCTTTTAACCGTCTACTTTGATTGATGGGCATTGAACGGCGGATAATCATGAACGCAGCCCTGTAGCCTAATTGCCAGATATTTCGCTGCAGAGGGTTCTGTTAATTTCTACACGCACCTAAGCATAGGAGCTCTATCTGTTTGGAATATAACTTGCTCAAGTGAGAGGGTCGAAATGACCTCCAGCTTACATATTATCCTAGAAGAAATGACTTATTAAGTGATCGTCACAAAACTTATTTGGGATTAAACGTATCCCATGCTTGCTTATTATTAGGACAGATGTCACCTTAATTAAGATTATGATATGAAGCAACCTCGGATACAGTGAATTTGAGAGCGGGGCCACGAATTGTTTTTACCTTTTACGACAACCAATTATAAAGCTTTGAATCATACGACCCGCTTTGTAGACGAAATTATTTCACAAAACGCATGTGATGGCGGCGTATTTTAACCATTTGCATTGACAAACCGACGCGCGTTTCGACTGACAATCAGCAGAACACATTCCGTATCATTCGACATCGGTACGGGATTGTGTTGGTGACAGAGAGGAGTTTATCCGATAAACTTGAGGGGACAGGCAGCTATCACGGAAAACTTAGGCAACGGCCGAATATCATCTAAGCATTCTGAAGGAGTTGTTAACTACTTTTTCATTAACGATCCAAAGACCCCACTGTTTGACAACACTTTTTTTATCAATCAAAATGCTAGGAAAAGCAAATTGTGCAAGACACCTCCTGAAATCGCTTCCAACTGTCAGACCACAAGTTCTCCAGTACAGACACATATCTGTAATTACCACGTTGCCGAGTTCTATTCGCTATTGGAGCGTTGTTTAAGTGCTGTACCAAATAACTGCATATCTTAGCGTGTCGTCCATGCAGAGTACTGATACTGTATCATCCAACACTTGTAATAATCATAATAACGACGTATATACTCGGGTTCGGGAGATTTTCACTTCTCTGCCTGATCAATGACTCCATTTGTTTCGCATGAGGTCCATGGGTTAGTGTGAATGTTGCGCACAAATGATGATCATAAGTTAGCACTGATTGTTCTCCATTTCAAAGCACTAAATGGATGCAAAATAATTCGTGGCGTCCTGACAGTACTCTGTGTACAGACGAAACAAGCTTTTTGCTTCCTTAGAATGCGGGATGTAGGGCGATGGTATGGTGATAAAAAGAGCACTGAATCTCTGTTTCAAGACATGCTTTTTCATCTAATTTAGGCAAAATATTCCTATACATTTCGAAGTTCAAATATGGAGTAGTGAAACTCGAAGATATTTATTCACTTTTAGTTTAAAAAGTGAGCATGAGACCCTCGATAACCCTAGCAAGAGATTTACTGAATCGGACTTGATCGACAGCACCAAAACACGTCAAGCGTTTTGCTTCACTGTGCGCCACACGTATGCAAGTAAGAGGAAAATGGAAAACATCAAGGGAAATAGGGTCAGTATGTGGGGTATTTTCTTTTATGTTAATCAACGTTGAAGGACAGAATATCCATGTTGCGAAAGTGCAACATTCACGAAAGTACTACATGCTGGTACAGTGTTTTCTGGTAGCTTGGTCTGGAATTTTTCTAATTGCCTGAGCAATCACAGGTGTAACGGAGCCGCTAACAGCAATGGAAGCAGCTGATCTCCTACGGCTTCATTACTTCCAAACTTTCCAGCAGGTAACGAGCCCAAACATTCTCCTCTTTTCTATTACTCCACCGTCGGGTTTAGACAACATCACCTTCACTGCAGAAGCTGTCTTGAAGAAGCTGTTACACTTGCGTATCCAAAGTTCTCCTGGAGTCGACAACATCTGACCAAAGGCTCTGCAGGCGGTAGCTAGTGATCTGGCGGAATCACTGGCTGTTTCCTATCAGCGATAGCTACAGGAGAATCATATTCCACCGGTATGGAAGCGAGGGGTCATCACTAAGGAAGTAGCCGCAGTGACCCCACCAACTACCGTCCAAAAGCACTACTTCCTGTACTATCCAAAGTTATGGAATCAATCATCGCTGATGCAGTATCTGGAAAGCCACAACTTTATAGCCCCAGAGCAACATGGCTTTCGTCAAAATCGTTCATGTAATAATAACCTATTAATTATACTTGATAGCTGGACTGAAGCTGTTGATGATGGAGCAGGAGTCGATGTCATCAACCTGGAGTTCTCAAAAGCGTTTGATCGCTTAGACCCTCGAATTCTTCTTCAGAAGCTTCAGAACTATGGCATTGGCGACCCAATCCTGAGTTGGATTAGCAATTTTCTACACTAACGACGGCTAGAGGTAAGAGTCCGAGAATCATTGTCCGATGCAATCGATGTGGTGTGTGGTGTACCAAAAGCCTCCCTACTTAAACCTCACCTATTCTTGGTTTTCATTAGCGATTTGGCGAGATCAATTGCCGCCGATTTCCTATTTTTCGCTGATGCTATCAAGATATGACGAAGGATCAGAGGACCGGATGGCCACTAACGGCTCCAGTCCGACCTTAACACAGCGTCGAATTGATCAGTTCAAAACGCTCTACCATTCAACGTAGACAAATGTCGCGTTGTGCAATCACGCCATAAAGTTCACTACACCTATTTCCTTGGGATAAACGGGTTGCAGACCATCTCCCAGGAACGTGACCTTGATGTGCTCGCACAGAGCGACCACTACTGTTCAAAGCAGGCTGAGTTAGCTGCCAAGAGAGTCAACCAGCACGTCGGCACGCAGCGAAGGGCATTCGGGAGATTTGACCCATCTATCTTCCCAATGGTGCACAATTCCTACGTGCGCCCGCATGTTGAATACGCTATCCAAGCTTGGCAACCTTGTTTGAAGCGCGACCTAGAGGCGTTAGGAGCACCACAACAAGAGCAACAAAGGATGTAAAGGGCCTGCGCTATCACTCTTACCACTGAAGGCTGAAGTTGCTGAGAATTACCAGCGGACGCTATCGAAGGCTGCGCGGCGATCGCATATTAGGGTATCAGATATTGTGTGAGCCCAACCACGTATGCCGCCACTTGCTGAAATTTAGCCACAACACGCAGCTCAAAGGTAACTGCTTAAAATTGAAGAAACAATATAGCCGCCTAGAGTGTCGACGTAATTACTTTTCCCTTCTGGTTTGCCAACCCTGGAACGCACTCCCAGACTCAGTTGTATCCTCTCCTACCTTAGACGTTTTCAAAAAAAACGGTTAGATGTTACTGTTAACTCCCATTACTCTGTTACCTAAACTCCTCTACTGTGAATTACGTCAAGCATACTTTTCAACAAAATTTGTGTATCAAATGGACCCAATTTAGCGACCATATTTTACTTTTCTCACGCCTTATATCAACGACCACTGCACTCCAGTATATTTTCGAATGTTTACAGTTGATTATTTTAATTGTACACTGATGTTATTTACCAAAGTATTCAGCTCGGCAGACTTTCGATAGATGATCCAAATACATTTTGATTTCGTTGTATTCACCTTAATCATCTTACGGGACGTGTCAAGCACTTGCTTTTATTCCGTGATAAATCATTGTCCATAACAATGCAAAACCCGTGCTTGTGGTGACAGCCTTGAAACCGTCGTATTACTCCATTGTTTCTGCTGGATACCGATAGTCATATATTTCCAGACTTTTTCCGTTCCGACACAGAACCATTGTATATCGTACAGGTTTTCTTGTGTCACTAACCAACTTGACTGTCTTATTAAGTCAGTTGCTTTAGTAACAATCCTGCTACGCTATTGCTTCGATATATATATATATATAACACTTGACCATTTACAAGACAATTGGATGCATGCCACAACACATAAGAGGAAAAGTAGATTGAAACGGAAAGCAACTGTTAGGGTAGAACTGTTTCACAGCAATTACGCCATTTCGTACGCTCCTTTACCATATCCTCCAGCGATTGCAAGCAGATGTGCTCGGGGTCATTTGGTCCCCAACCCGGCAGCCAGGGA